ATATATATATATATATATATATATATATATATATATATATATATATATTATATATAGTATATTTAGCAACAAACCTTCATTTATACATGTTCCATTAAAGACGACATACAATGTACTAAGATTAAGCGTTTTATTTAATTTTCTTGTGTTCTAACAAGTGTTTTCATTTTTGGAGCGTGTTGAAACTGTCCAAATGTTCTGTACTTCCGAGCGCTTTCGGCCATACTTTTAGACATTACCAAGGATGATTTTATTTTTACTTTTTCAATTCGGTGTATGGGTTGTGTGTATGTTTCTGGAGTTATAGGGATGTTTTATTTTTCGAACACATCACATTGTAGCCGTGTTCGTATTTAATATTATTGAGTGTTGCCTTTTTCTTTTTTATTATTACGGCTTCCATTATGTTTAATCTTTTTTTTTAAAATGTGTATGAGGTTATTATTTTTGTATGTTTCGGATGGAGTTTGGTAACTTTTTGAGCGTGTTTAAAATGGTTGTAACAGAGCTGTGTCCGGATAGGTGTAAAGTAAGATGTCTGGATAAGAATGTAGTAGTGTGAGCGAAGTAATTATTTATAAATTGGGTTTGATCAGGAATGCAGTTCCTTAATGGGCATTGGAACTCACAAATAATGTTCGTTCGTTATAATTTTGAATTTGCTGGTGTGTTGTTATAATCGAGGCTAAGATTAGCTGTTTTAAATTTTTTGTAGTAGATAATTTGATTTTTTTTTCAGGTCAATTGCGGTAGTGCATGTCTTTATGATATTTCTAAATGAAGATTCATCTTGATTGTAGTTGACGTGCATTTGGTTTTTATAGAAAATATTTATGAATTTTTACTTAGAAATACACAACTTCAATTCGCACGAACAAAAAGAAACAAAACAATAAACGTATCACCAATGCGAAGAACATCCCAAAAAGTGAATAAATTTATTACATCAAACTTAATATAAAACTAACGATAAATTGGAAAAATCGCCATTTAGTTGTTGAAACCTCCTGATGAGTGTTCTATACAATTACAAAAATGGGTTCGTCTTCGAAACTCCAGAGTTGAGGTGTTGAATATGACAAATTATATATATATATATATATATATATATATATATAAGGTAACCAAAAAAGTTCTGTCCGTTTTTTGATTAGTCATTGAATGAAGTTGAAATATATACGAAATGCGTGTAGCAATTGTTTTCAAATTTGGACAGCCGGAAGTAGGAACATCAGACGTTATAAAAAAAAATCAAACGTTATAAAAAACACGCGCACCGTGCCCGGCCATCAGTTATAAGCCGGACAGCTGTGAGAAGGATGGAAGTGTCTAGAGATCTCGTTCGCAGCTGTTTGCTTTACGACTTCAAAGTGGGCTTATCAGCAGCTGCATCAAGTCGCTGCATATGTCAAGCGTTTAGGGATAGTGCTATGGATGAACGTACTGCAAGGCGTTGGTTTCGAAAATTCAAGTGCGGAGATTTGTCTCTCCATGATGGGCCTCGCAGTGGACGACCACAGGTCTTGAATGACGGAGTCCTGAAGGCGGCCATTGAAGAGGACAGTAGTCTAAACGTGTTCAACGTTTCCGATGAAACAATTAGACTTTACCTGCACCGCCTAGGTAAGACGTACAAACTGAGTAAGTGGGTTCCGCAAATGCTGTTGGAGGTCCACAAGGGACAACGAGTGGCAGCCTGCGTATCGCTGCTTTCTCACCACTGTACCGCATCCTTATTCAATCGAGTGCTTACCACTGATGAAAATTGGGTTCTGTACGAATCTCCCAAGCATTCCAGACATTGGTTGTCTCCTCAGGATGCTGTCCCTCACACCGCTAGACCACCTATGCATCCACGCAAGATTATGCTTTGTGTCTGGTGGACAGGTCGTCAAGTGGTTCATTATGAACTGCTACCAACGGGTCAAACAGTCACTGGAGACCTATACTCGCAGCAATTGAAACGTGTACAACAGGCATTGCGCCAGAAGGAGCCAGCATTGGTGAATCGCAAAGGTGTCCTTTTCCTCCATGACAACGCCAGGCTGCATGTCGCGCGAGTGGTCAGGGATACCATACAGCAAATTGGTGGGAGACTTTGTGCCATCCACCTTATTCACCTGACCTTGCGCCATCCGATTACCACCTCTTCCACTCCCTGGATAATCATCTTCGTTGGAAATCCTTCACCAATGAAGCAGACTTGCGCAAAGCTCTCACGGACTTCTTTGCGTCAACCCCCCCCCCGAGTTCTACCGAAAGGGCATTGAACAGCTGGAGACACGTTGGCAGAAGGTGCTGGATACCGATGGCGATTACTTCGAAGACTAAATATAAGTTACACATACTGTGAAGCGTTTTCTTTTTTTCTTTTAAAAACGGACAGAACTTTTTTGGTTACCTTGTACTAGCAGCATGGCCCGGCGTTGCCCGTGCTTGATTCAAAAATCGTACGACTCATACAGCAATCGCTATGACTTGACTTAAAATATTTTTGCCCTTCCTTGCCTTTAAAGGAGTGCCCTTTGCCGTGCTGATGTTGCTACATGCCTTACTTCTTGCCTATCTCACACTGCAAATTTTTTCTAAGCTCTATACAAAACATTAAATTTGTTACGAAAAAAGAACTAAACAAAATGAACACAAAACGATCAGCTTTAAAAAAAGACTCGTAACTGGAAAAACCGAATGAAAAAAAGAATGTTAACAACAAATACTTTTTCACACCCAAACCAGTTCTGCTGAATCAGAATCAACGTTGAGTTTAAGCAAGCGAATGAGCCAATTGGAGTAAAGTGCCACTTGTGACGAATGCAGCTATCGATTTTTTTTGCATGCTAGCATGCAAGTTAACAATCGTTTCAGTCAGCTGTTGGCTCTCACGCTGGCCAATAGAATCTTCCTGCCTATTCGTGGCAGCCAGCTATGTCTGTGTGTGTGTGTGTGTGTGTGTGTATGTGAGTTGGATTCATGAATGTTTCTGACACATATTTGAATATTATCTGTTACCTCATAACACGTGACACGTATCTAACCAATAAGAAATAAGTAAACGCAGCATACTATTAATCTGCGTCTCTTTGCTGTTCATCATTTTTTTATTATTTCTCTCTTGATTTCTAACAAAGTGTTAATAATAATATCAAATTTTATCATATAATTTATAACTTCTTGGTTAGAATAAATTCTATTTTAGTATAACCGCAATTTTAAGGTTTTTAATAGCTATTATAACCTTACTTCGTTGCCAAGTTTTTTGAATTCTCGTACTTGTGTTTTGATTGGTCATTCTAGCTTATGTAACAGCGTTTTCCCCTGACGAAGGATCGTTAATTAATTTGAAACTTTTAAAACCATTTATTCTACATTCAACATCATCAATTGATAAGACACTGGAGGTGTTGAAACAAAATGGCTATTTTTGTAGTGATTTTATAACATACTTATGTTATAATTTTTAAATAAATAATTATATATATCTACTACGTATTGAGAACTCATTTAAGAATGGTAATTGTTGGTTATTGGAATTTATTCCGTATACATCAATCCTATACTTGGGTATATATATATATATATATATATATATATATATATATATATATATATATTATATGAATCATTCTTCATATATAATAATATAAATATTTGTTTTTTGTATGAATGATTCATGTAATTATAAATTGAACTGCACCTATAATCGAAATTAAAATAACTGATCCAATGTGCAACTTTCGGATAAGTGTGATATTACTGTAATTATTGAACAATATAGTTCATGCCACATTGACGGAAAATCTACCAGTACAAAACAATTCTCTTATTACTATATTTGTACAAAAAAGCACAACCTTAAAATTTAAAATTCAAACTCAGCGTTGCGACCGCACGTTCCAAAACAATAACACATTTCTCATAGCATTTTTTCGGATTACATCTCTATTTTCGTTGTCTTCTTATTACCGAGAAGTAAAAAAACAACAACAAATCTATTTCCATGCCTGAGGATGTCTGTAGAAACAGACGAAAGCTTGTAAAAACTAAAAACAGACCTTATGAAACTGGAATATATAAACAGGAATCACATCATTCATATACAGGTGTAACTTATTGAAATTGTTTGCGAAGATGTATTCTCGCCATTTAAATCATTAACCTCTGTATTTGTTTTTTGTAGGGATGATTCATGAAAATATAAATTGAACTGCACCTATAATCGAAATATATATATATATATATATATATATATATATATATATATATATATATATATATATATATGTGTGTGTGTGTGTGTGTGTGTGTGTGTGTGTGTGTGATTTTTAAAGTAATGAATTTTTTTATTTATTAGTTCGACAGATTTTTATCATTTTAACGTTATTTTTAGTGGATACTCGTATTTGAGTAGACGTTCCGTTTTTTTTTATTAAATAGTATATTTATTTTTGTTTTCTGTTTCTGATGAAAAGATATATTTTGCATGATCCTGGAGGTACCTGTGGCCATACAAATTTTCGTGCATTCTTTGAGTTAGAATTATGGTCAAATTATTATTTATGAATGTTTTTGTCTTGAAATTGATTCGAAGATACTTTTGGAATTTCGAAATGTCTGGTGACATTTTCAATAGGAAATTTCGTCACGAATTAATGTCTGTATGCGCCATTTTTATGCGAGGTTGTTGTATCTATGCTAATCAATTTATTATCTACAAGGAAACATAAAGTTTATTTACCGTAAATTCTGTTCTTGGTCAAACATGGAAATCATTTTGCATGTGTCGATGTGGTGGTGTTAAAATGGAGCTGTGATCGTATTGTTGTCTACAATCTGTCAGGAAAACCAAAAATTAAATCTGATTTTTTTTCTTGTTGAGACAACGAGACTGCAGCGAAAGAAGAAGCTGTCATTGTGTGTTTGTGGGGAGAGTGCTTGATGTTTGTGCTATATTAAGCAGTCGAATAGGATAAAAAAAAGAAAAGAAAAAAAAACTAAGAGGATTAGATGAAATAATAATGAATAAACAGGATGCAGAAGCACAAAGAAAGCGTAAAAAGAAATGATAGAAAAGAAAAGAAAAAAGAGCAACAAGAAGAGATAGAAGAAAACGGAGAAGAGAAAAGACAATAACAGAAAAGGAAGGGAAAAAAGTGGTATTTGTCTAGGAAAAGAAGGACAGAAAAAATAATGATGACGAAGAAATACTAGACAAGAAGAAGAAGAAGAAGAAAATGAAGAAGAAGTAAACCGCGAAGAAGAAAAAAAGAAAAAAAAAAGAAAGAATTAAAGAAAAAAAGAAATTAAAATGATATTCAGAGAAAAAAAAGTAAGTAGGAAGGCAGAAAAAAAAATGATTAAATGTCGGTGAGAGAGAAACGGCAATAAAGTGGAAAATCGAAGAAGCAAAATAAATATTAAAGAAGCATAGAATGGCCACAAGTCTGAAAACATTTTCTAAAACTAAAATTTGAAGACAAAAATCTGAGACTGAATAGAATAAAAGAAACAAATATAAATACTAAAGAATATATGAGTAACCCCGCCAAATTGAAAAGGAGTAATAAAATGAAAGAAGAAGTAGAATAAAACTATGGTGAAAGTGTGCAAGGAGCAACGTAGTAGTAGTAATAGTAGAATAAGAGCAGGAGGAGGAGGCAGAGTTGATGAAGATGGCAAGAATCAGAGTATTAGTGGTAGTAGTAGTAGTAGTAGTAGTAGTAGTAGAAGAAGAAGAAGAAGAAGAAGAAGAAGAAGAAAAATTAAGGAGAAAGTGGACAAGAGGCAGAGCAGTAGTAGTAGTAGTAACAGAAAAAGAAGAGGAAGAAAGTGTAGGTAGAGAAAAAATACTAAGGAGAAATTCGGCAAAAGTATGGTAGTAGTAGTAAAAAAGAAGAAGAAGAAGAAGAAGAAGAAGAAGAAGAAGAAGAAGAAGAAGAAGAAGAAGAAGGAGGAGGAGGAGAAGCAGCAGCAGAAGGAGAGGAAGAAGAAGAAGATCTAACGAGAAAGTGGGCAATGAGCAGAATAGTAGTAGTAATAACAAATGAAGAAGAGGAATAGGATGCAGTAACGACAAAGACGAAAATTAAAGTAGGAAAATAGTGATTACAAGAAGAAAAAAGAAGAAGTAGTAGTAATAGTGATTGTGAAAAGAAGAAGAAGAAGAAGAAGAAGAAGAAGAAGAAGAAGAAAAGTAAACTAACAAGAATATGGGGAAGGAGAACAAGAATAAGCTGAAGTAATCTACTTCGCTGTGGTGTTAGTGAGCTCGGCTGGTTGATCATTACTCTTGAATAGTGAGTTTGAGATTTATTTGGTACTCCATACTTTTGGCCTTGTGCCAAACTAAGATGGACTTAGTAAATCACAACAGAAAATGATAGAAGACGAAGGAAATGAAAAATAAAAAAAACTGAAAGCTCAAGAATAGAGAGGAAAGAATATAAAAACAAAAAAAAAAGCAATGGAAAAGGAAAAAAATGCTAACGAAGATATGAAGAAAAAAGATAGGAGGAGGAAATGGGGGGGATGACAACTATTCGAGTAGAGAGATAGAGAAAGAGAAAAATGAGAAAGAGAGAAAGAAAGAGAGTGAGGAGAATGATAGTGAGAGAGAAATAGAGAATGAATGAGAGTGGAGAGAAAAAAGAGAGAGACAAAGAGAGAGAAAGATGAATAGAGAGAGAAAGAGAGGTAGAAAGAAAGATAGAGAAAGAGAAAATTAAACAGTAAATAAGAAAAGCAATTGAAAAATCGAAAATCGACATCATTGAGACTATCCATTTCACGTGCCTACCGTAGCGCGTTAGTTATACATTTATTTTGCAGGCTATTTGGCTAGGATAACGATTTCGGTCTTCCGCAAATGCTCCTTCTGTTTCTATGTGCCATGTTCCTTCAGGACGTGAACGATTGTGGCTCTCCACAGCTTCTTATCCAGTGTACCTCTTCGTAATATTTGTCATTTAACTATCCCTCTCCGACCTTGTCCTACCATCCATTTACACAACCTCGTTGTTCATATATACTTCTTCTTCCCCTCTGTCCGTCTTGCCTTCATTATGTCCTGCGAATATCAATTTTTCCAAGCCTTCTTTCCTCATTATGTGCCCTAGATATTTCAAATGTTGCTTTCTGAGAGTACAAGCGCACATGCGTCTTTTTTTTTTTTTGTTGCTTCCGGTTTCCTTGTTACACGCATGCTCCGGCGATGGTATTCTCAGCATCCGTCTATATTTCCGCAGATGACTCTATGTTCATTCGATACACTATGCGTTAGATACACTAATTCATAACTGTTTTAAAAATTTGGTGTCAGTGACCGGTGTTCGTATCAAGGTAAAAGCTATTGTTCGAAGGCTAATTTTGAAGAAAAAGTGGATTTCCGTGCTTGGCGAAAAGACAATTCCCATTTTCTTCAGTTGTCACCAAATTTGCCACAGCGCTATATTTGATAAGTCCTTCAGTAACTTGCGTAGTCAGTTCGATCCTTACAAGGTGAACCTATTTCAAACTAAGCTAGAGTGTCTGCTTCGCGTCCGCCGTGGACGCGTAGTTCATATTTAAACAAGACGATATGCAATCCCTTTTTTTTTAAATATTAGGAATTCGAATGTTAATTTTTTAAGCCGGGTATGACTTTTTTTTAAGCAATAAAACACAAGTTGAATTTTAAAGATAGTGAATATTTTATGTGTAGGTCACGTGACGGAATTTTTGGTATCACATTCTGAGGCTTTGTTGAAAACCATAGAATTATGCTGACAAACCCAAAACCATATTTTGGCTTTAAATAATCTGAAAAATTCTGATAACAGATAGAAAAAAAAAGAAATCACTAATTATTTCATATTATGCTTTACTTGAATTTATATACTTTCCTTCAGGTTCAATAATAATGTTATCTGTAATTTCCAGTAATCGATTTCCAAAAGATACTACGGTGTAGAAGCCGAGAATTAACAACATTTCCTCCTTTACAAATATGCCTCAGTATTAAATTATGTGTAACTGCTGCTTGAGCAGTACAGTAGAGTCTTTATTTTTACGACTTATCAACCTTTTATAAGTTTTTTTTTTTAACTGAAACTTGTAAGAATTATTTTGGGATTGTAAGAATTATTTTGTAGATAATAATGAGGAATGAGTAGCGATAGTAAAATGCAAAATAGATAACAGTTCAACAAACAGAATTGAAAATGTTTGCAAAAAAGCAACAACAAGAAAAGAAAAGAAAAGAACAGGACAAAAATAATATAAAACAAGAAGACAATATATGTAAGGCGAAAACAGTAATAAGGCAAAGCAACAGTAATATGGCAAAAAGTTCACAAATTAAGAATTGCCGTTGACATACAAAAGCGTTCTGAATTAAAGTCAAGACAGACCGGGACTGAATCAGATGAAACCGAGTACCGTCCTATTTTATTGGCTAGGGGAAAAATCCCAGCATGCACTTGTGTGCTTCTGCTTATGAAATGGAGAGGGGAGTATTTTGCAGTCATTTCTAGTGGAGACTGGAATCAACAAATAATTTTCTCATACAATTCTTACTATTTAAGCCATGTCTAGGAGGAGAAGATGTGGATTCGTGGCTTTCCCAAGGGTATTTACACGTAAGTGAATATACCCAACAAGGCTGGAATTCGAACCCGGTTCTCCGATTTCTCATTGGTTATCCATTACACCACCCGCACACCCAAACTTACAGCGGCAATATACCCGAGCGTTCAGCATCTAGTTACTTACCAGGTCCAACGTTTCTTAACTTCGGTGATCGAATGAGAACCTGACAAAGTGATATGACAGCAAGCTATTACGCCAGAACATAATTGCTACTTTATACAGTATTGAACATATTTTAAAACTTTTGGTTAAAAAATCGGGATCAGATGTTTAAACAATGTCAATAACGATTTTTTTTATTCCGTTGGGTCTTTTTTTAGTGAGTCTCCCTGTTGTGGCCTTGTGCCAGACTAAGCTAAATTAGTGAATAACTATGAAAGAAACCCTTTTATGGAAAGAGGATTTTTATGCATCTTGAGAGTAAGCAAGTCGTTACTGCTCACTTTTTATACTTCTATTTTTTATATTCTTTTTCTAGTCAACACGAATCTCTATTTCTCTCTCACTCACTGTCTTTCTCTCTTTCCCTCTTTTTCTTTCTCTTTTTCTCTTTCTCCGTCTCTCTGCTCGTCTCCCCATTTCTTTCTTGTATCTTTTTTCTTCATAACATCCTTCGTTTTTTTTCCTTTTTCATTGCATTTATTTTGCTTTTGCATTTTGCTCTCTATTCTTGAGCTTTCAGTTTTCTTTATTTTTCATTTCCTTCGTCTTCTATCATTTTCTGTTGTGACTTAATAAGTGCATCTTAGTTTGGCACAAGGCCAAAAGTATGGAACACCAAATAAAGCTCAAACTCACTATTCAAGAGTAATGATCAACCAGCCGAGCTCACTAACACCACAGCGAAGTAGATTACTTCAGCTTATTCTTGTTCTCCTTCCCCATATTCTTGTTAGTTTACTTCTTCTTCTTCTTCTTCTTCTTCTTCTTCTTTCACAATCACTATTACTACTACTATTTTACTTCTTGTAATCTTCCTACTTAATCGTCTTTGTCTCTGCATCCTATTCCTCTTCTTCATTTGTTATTACTACTACTATTCTGCTCATTGCCCACTTTCTCGTAAGATCTTCTTCTTCTTCTCTCCTCCTCCCCTCTTTCTTCTTCGATTACTACGACTACCCTACTTCTTGCAGACAGGTAAGAACCCACCAAAAGTGTCCACTTTCCTAAATCCGAGAATATTTGCCTATCTACTGTACATAAATTCGCTAACATTTATCAACAGTCTTAAGTATAAGACCGAACTATATTAAGATACAATCTCAAAAATGAACCAATCAAATATTTACCAATATAGACAAATATAAACCCAAAACATCTCCAACTATCGACTCAAGTAGGAAACCAAGTTACATTTACCTGGATTCAAGTATAATCATGACTTGTTTATCTATAGTTTCAAGTATAAACTCGACTAAAGTTTAACTATTGATCCAAGTTTAAACCTGAGCCAATGATTACCTCTAGACTCAAGCATAACTCGGAATAATTTTTATTTATAGACTCATGATTACCTATTGACGAAAGTATAAATGGTAGTTATGTCTACCTATAGACTCAAGTATAATCCGCAGCAATATTTGCCTGTAGAATTTATTATAATATACGGTTTTCGACATCTAATAACCAAAGACGTGTTGACGTATTGTAAATTCCACCAACTCAAACCAAAGTGAAAGGGTTCTAAAGATTTCTTAGAGTTATTAATTGATTTTTAAGCACGACTATCATTTTCCTTGTCGACATTTTTCAGTCTGGCTCAAATAAAATCTTTTTTTTATTATTCAAATAGTTCACTGTAAATTTCGCTTGCGAGATCACGTCAACAGTTCGCTTGTCCTTTGTCAAACATAATTACGTTTGGTTGTCTGACTCGTAAATGAAATATCATACAAGCTTGGTTTCATTATTTTCACAATCATTCGTATGAGAATTAATTTAATTCGTGGCAGGAGAAGAAAAATTCGAGGCCGTCTAGCCAGGTTAGAAAAACTAATCTAATTGTTATGGATACAAAAATTAATACATGACAAACGCTGTCGTAAGAGTTGATGAAATAGTGAACGCAAAACGATGGAAAATTGGAACAACTGCGCTTAATGTAAAAGGAGACAGCAAAACTCTATCGTTTTCCTCTTTATTTTCTATCGTATTTTTATGCAAGAAACTGGATTATTTTATAATGTCGATTTTTTTTCGCTGTACTAGTGATGGCTGCATTGATGTATTTTTTTCTTTTTTATTTTACCTTTTTTTATCGCTTTTCTTACTTTTTCTTTTTTTTTCACCATTTTTTTTTTTGCCTTCTCCCTTGACTTTCTCTATCTACTTCCTCTTCTGTTTCTTTTCTTTTATACTCTCTATAGACATTTGTTTCTACTTTTAAGTCTCATTTTTAGTTCTCTTCCATTCACATTCATTTTCATGTCTTCTATTTCTTCAGAACGTGTGAATCTATAACTCCCACTCCCTCTTATTTCTAAGCAATATTTTGGACCCTTACTATCATTCTCCGTTTTGCTCTGCTATCAATTTACAAAAGTTTGTTAGGCGGGTTACCGGATTTTACTTTGTCTGCCTCGCTTTCAATATGTCGTCTTAGTGTCAAATTCTCCAAACTCTCTCTCTCTCTCTCTTCCCTCGTTATTTGCAACTGCCTATCATTTCTGTTCTTTTCTCCCTAAAAACTTCCTTGTAACTCACATGTTTTATCCATAGTATTTTTGCTATCCTCCTGTTAAAACTACGTCATTACTGCCTCGCTTGTCCTCTTCGTCTGTGAGGAAATTGTTGAACATTCATCACCATGGATGAGACATGGATTGACATTATTAAGTTATCTGGAAAATAATGTCCGATTTTAGAAACATCGTTTATTTCTGTATTTATAACTGTGTTTAAATCAGTCAAAAATGAATCATAGACATCTATTTATTTCTGCTATCGAGTTACAAATTTATTTACGACATTACGATAAAACTTCTTTACGTCAGATAATATTTGAATGCAGTTTCTGCATTTTCTTTACAACGCAACGACTCTTGGCTTAAAATTTGTCAAAATGCCTGGAAACATGGGAGACAACTCTGGAGAATATGTTGGTTGTGTCAAAGTTTTCTATCCTTTTCAGTAAGCTTCTGCAGTGTCATCCAGGCAACATGTGGCTGGACATTGTTATGAAGCAGAGTTAGACTTCATCGATTAACCAGTCTCGTTTGCATTTTATTTGATCGGACGTCCATTTCATCCATTTGCCGGCAAGAAATTTCGTCAGTGATGATATGGTTACATTTCAGAAATCTGTAATGAAAAACGCCATTTGCGGGCAACAAGACAGTCACTATAATCTTCTATTGGTAGAGTATCGGTTTTGGAAAATGACTCGGTTCTTCCTTATGATCAAGACATTGAACCGATCGTTAACATTTGTCATAAAGGATCTATTTCTTATCACAATTCACTATTCAATCAAGAAATGGGTCACTCGAATTTCGCAGATGCAGCATCGAACACACTTCAAACCTTCAAGTTCTGTGACTTTCACTGAATTCACATGAAACACATTTATCGAAGTTTTTCACCTTGCCAATGTTCTTGAGATGATCCGATATTGTTGAAATGCTGATATCCATTATCTGAGACATTTCCGACACTTTGACGTGGGTTTTGTCCGACTATTTCTTTCAGATGCTGATTGTCATTTGCAGATAAACGTTCTCTGCCATCTTGCAAGTAAAAGACTCGTATCGCAAATGCAGAACTTCAGAAACCAGCGCGGCACTCTTCAATCACTAGCGGAACCCTCACTCCATACTCTGTTTATGTTTGCAGTAGTTTTACAAGTATTATGACCAAGCATAAACTCCTGTAAAAACGTAAACGTGTCTCTTCTTTTTCCTGCTAAATATCGGCTGTATATAACGTTTTAAAGTGATTGATATAAAAATTAATAAAGAGGGATCTTTAATCATTAGGATTGAGAAATATATTTTGTACACCTTTTATAATAATATATTAGTACACAGTTCCAAAATTGAATATTATTTTCCGAATTACCTGATATATGGCCGTTCATTCTTTATTTCTCTGTTTCTAATGTTTTTGTCTTTTACTCTTCCTTATTCTTCAACTCTTACTCCTCCCCTCCTCCTCCTCCTCCTTCTCCTTCTTTTTCTTCTCCTCCTCCTCCTCCTCCTTCTTCTTCTTCTTCTTTTCTTCTTCTTCTTCTTCTTCTTCTTCTCCTCCTCCTCCTTCTTCTTCTTCTTCTTCTTTTCTTCTTCTTCTTCCTCCTCTCCTTCTTCTTCTTCCTCCTCCTCCTCCTCTTCTTCTTCTTCCTCCTCTCCTTCTTCTTGATCCTCCTCCTCCTCTTCTTCTTCTTCTTCTCATGAATTAAAAAACAAGGAAATAAAATCAATTCTGCAAATCTATTAAATGATACCTTACAGCTGAAAGTTGAGTTATTGTCATTTAATCCCAGAAACGCTCATTCTGATTTTTTACTTTATTTCTCCGATCCATTCAAAAGTAACCAAAGCAACGAGTTTCTATTTAGAAAGATTGGTAAAGCCGCTTAAAAAAAAACAAACAAAAAAAAAAAAAACAAAGCATTTGGCATGTCTTCCACCAAATATGTAGAAGGTGTGTAATTTAGAAGCGGGTTTGACGATACACTGAAACGGATCGAAAATAATGAAGAATCAATAATGATTGTATTAACCTGCATTTTACTCTTACCGGCTGAGACAGTTACATCGACCGACATGCGATATCAAATGCTGATTTTCTGAACATATAAACCGTCTGGATGGAGGAGGTTTACCTGGCCCAATATTCCAGGCTCTGATTCAAATTTCGACTTCCGAAATCAAGCTATAAAAACATGTTTAAAAAAATTAGTCATCACCAAATCTTCAAATTATTAGTCTGAGGTATAGTCAATATAAAACTTTTATTTTCCTCGAGAACGTAGGTAAATATTTCAACACACACACGCACAACAAAATCATATGCACACACACACACACACACACACACACACACACACACACATATATATATATATATATATATATATATATATATATATATATATTATATTTGAATAAAAACAGACTACTTTAAGGTTCCATGTAATAAATTATTTCACCACAGCCCTTTTAAAGGGCTCTGGATCATCAGACTTTACTTCCAAAGGTTGAAATGAAAAATGAAAAGAAATTTACACATTTTTGACGGGCCGTATTAAGCATATGTAAATTAACGAAGTCAGGAAGTGAGGGGGGAGAGAAGACATGAGTGATTTAGATGTACCATTTCCATTCTTTATCTCTAACCCCAATTGGTGTGGGCTAGACTTATGTTATCTTTAGATATGGATGGGTAAGTGGTGAAGAGGAAAGCCGACATAAAAGGAAGAAGATACAATAAACCAATCCTGATGAGAGAAGGTTTCACTTAATTTCTTAGAATCTGTTATTTCGCATTACTTTAAAGGGTATATTTGGGGGTTAAAGTTTGGTATAAATCTAAATATCTAAAAAAATGTACGAAGAATTTAATTTGATGTTTGTTGGAGTTTTGGGTATCTTCTATGAAATGGTCAATTGGAAAAAATTCATAGAAAGTACATTGAAAGAATAATTCATTTTACATCTAGTAATCTTTTTTATTTTCCTAAACTTTTTCTTGTTGATTTTTCAGTTGACATCTATTCGTTTGAGTTTTGTTCATAAATTAAACTCGTGACTGTTTTTAGATACCTACACAATTATCAAAGGTTATTTCAATTTAAATAATTTCATCCTCAATAATGATTATTAAAGGGTAATATATTTCAATTTAAATTAAGTTATCAATTTAAGATTTACCTCCGTATTATTTGAACTCATTTCCAATTGGAGAATATTAGAGGAGAAATTTGGATAAAACATTACTAACAGAAAATTAGGTCCTTCTTTTATAATATTCTATATATCCATACACATACACACCTCTACACATATCTGAGCACCTATATATATATCCACATACATACATATCCCTATATACCTATAAATCCATATACACACATACCCACACATCCACACAAAACTATATGTATATACCTATACATACACATATACACCTGTAGAAAGACACATACACACATATATACATACATATCCACACATACACGTATATACCTACATATATACATACATATATAATTATATGTATATATATATATATTATATACACATATATGCACACATAT